AATAATAATAATAATAATAATAATAATAATAATAATAATAATAATAATAATAATAATAATAATAATAATAATAATAATAATAATAATAATAATAATAATAATAATAATAATAATAATAATAATAATAATAATAATAATAATAATAATAATAATAATAATAATAACAATAATAATAATAATAATAATAATAATAATAGTAATAATAACAATAATAATAAAAATAATAATAATAATAATAATAGTGATAAGAATATTCTAGCATATTCATTTAAAAATTAACAAATCTGTTTGTTTCGTCATTAATTTAGTCATTTAATCAATCAAATAACTCCATTATTCTAATAAAATATTCAAAAATTTACGAATTGAATGTCAATTCCACCAATTTAATTAATTACAAATTATATAAGCTATTACAGGTTAAAAAGTCGTCTGAAATAACTAAAACTAAACTTAATGAGAGTAAATTTGCATTGGATGAACAACAAAAAGAAACATTTATCAAATTTATTAATGTTAATTATTAAATTTATTATTGCATTTATCACAATTACTTATAAAAAAAAGAAAAAGAAAAAAAGATTTTATTTGAAATTTTGAAATTTTTGGAAGAATTTGAAATTTTTTTTTACCTGAAACTATAAATAGAATAATATTAAAATGAATGAAATGAATTTAGGAAATTTATGATTATGGTGTAAATGGATTAGTGCAACAGTATGTGGAACAAATTAGTGTATATAAGCCTGTTGATGACCAATGTCAGGCTTTTAAAAGAAATCCAAAACGAAATCGTCATGAAGGTAATTTGAATAAACTTTATAAAAAAAGAAAAAATTAAATTTGATATTTATTGTTTAAATAGTGGAAATTAAAATTTACATATTAAATTGGATAAAAAGGTACCATAATTTTATATCAATTACTTTTGTAATAATTCATTAATATCATTTATTAATTATTATTTCTTTTAATAAATACATTTTCATTATTTACCAAGTAAACTTTTATTATTTGCCATTTGTTAGACAAAGTTTTAATATTTGTTCAGACAAATTTTTAATTGTTTATTTAATTTGTCATTTGTCATGATTAAATTTAACAAATTTTTATTTATTTATTCAATTATTCATTACCAATTCTTGTTGATATAATATCCCATTTAATTAATTTAATAAATTACATAAAAGTTATCAAATGTTTGGATAATACACGAGTAATTTTAAAACAAAAGCAAGATTATATTCATGCAAATTATGTAACCAGTAAATATTTCGTGAATCAATTCATTTGTACACAGGTAAATTTTGAATGGAAATAATTTTATTACTACTTTTATTTTATTTCGTTTCTTTTTTTTTAAGGCATAAATGCAAAAAAAAAGGAAGAAAAAAAATTTGGTTATAATTTATTAACAAAAAACTTTTTAATTTAATAATTATCAATAATTAAAACAATTATTGTGTTAATATTCTTTCTCTTCAAAATTTTTTTCTTTCATCTTTTTAAATTTGTAACAATTAATATTAAAGTGAAATGTAGGAATAAATAATGCTTACTTAAAAATGATGATGTATTATTAATTTTATTATTTTTATAAATGATTATCTATTACAGAAGCAATTTCTTCATACATTAAATATAATATCATACTAAAATTAATATCAGACTTATTCTTTTAAAGTAAATTATTCCGCAATTCATCGAAAAAATTTATCATTACTTAATAATTGTTACATTAATTATTCCTTTACATATTTGAGTAATTTTCTCCATTCGTTTTTTTTTTGAAATAAATTTAAATTCATTAATATCTTCAAATGGATTTCATACTATTTTCTTAATCTCATTTTACTAATTCTTTCATTAATTTCGTTTCATGCCATTTCATTAATTTCCATTTCATTAATTTCATTTCATATCATTTCATTAATTTTCATTTCATTAATTTCATTTCATACCATTTCTTTAGTTTTTATTTTATTAATTCTTTCATTGATTTCATTTCATATCATCTTTTTAATTTTTATTTTATTAATTCTTTCATTAATTTCATTTCATATCATTTCATTAATTTTTACTTCATTAATTCTTTAATTCATTTCATTTCATTAATTTTTTACTGAAATACGAAATGAATTATCATCATAAAAGGCACCAATGAAATCAACAGTAAATGATTTTTGGATAATGATAATACAAGAAAATGTTCGTCATATTATTATGCTTTGTAATTTAATTGAAAATGGCAAAAAGAAATGTTATATGTATTATCCAACTGAAGTTGGCGAAAAAATTGCATTTGATGGTATTATCTATTTGAAAATAATAAATAAATATGCACAAATATTTTATCTCATTAGAATTTTTAAACAAATTTGAAATTTTTTACTAAAAAAAAAGAAAAAATTTCTTGAAATAATTCTTTCTCTTTCTATTTTTATTCATATTATACTTTAAGAAGAAAGAGAGAGAGAGAGAAAGAGGGAGAGGAAGAAAAAAAAGTTTATTTCAGAAATAACAATTTCAAATTTAAATGTTCATTTGCTTGATAATAACAGGATAATATCAAAATTAAAAATTGAAAAAAATGATAATACATTATTTGTTTCACATATACTTTGGAAAGATTGGTAATCTTTTTCCTTTTTTTTTTCCACCACTCTTTTATTCTAATTTAATTAATTAAATTCAATTTCCTTCTAATTATTTTATTGAAATTTTATCAATTTTTGGTTTAATTTTATAAATCATAAAGAAGTGAAAAAAATAAATTATAGGCCTGATCATGGTGTACCAACCAATGAATTAATACCATTTCAAATTCTTAAAATGATACGTCGATCAAGGAAACGTCCAACTGTCATACATTGCTCAGCAGGTGTTGGTCGTACCGGTACAATTATGGCTATTGAAATGGGTCTTGAGCAACTTCTTCATTCTGTTCCTCTTAATATGGTCAAATTATGCAAAGAATTACGAAGTATTAATTTTCATTATTTTATATAATTTATATTTGAAAATTTTTTAAATTTTAATTAAAAATTTAATAATTTAAAATGAAATTTTTTATCAAATTTCAAAATTAGAAAATTTACAAAAATGTATACGAAAAAAAGAAAAAAAACAAATGAAAGTGAAATTAATTGCATGAAATTTTACACTTTTTGAAAGAATTAATATCGACGAGGCATACTGTGTTTCATATAACCAAGAAGCATACTGTACTTCATACTGTAAAGAAGCATACTGCACATCATACTGTATTTCAGATATGCGTGCTTATAGTGTGCAAACCGACCTACAGTATGTCTATATTGCTAAATGTTTGTTAGCATATGCATGGTGTTGTGGTGTATTCATCGATGCTCCAAACCTAATTCCGGTTATTTGTTTATTTTTTCATTCTTCATTTAATAATTCTTCATTTAATTTTCATTTAATTTCATTTAATTTTTTTCATTTAATTTAATCTTCATTTAATTTTTTTTTCGTTTTATTTTTAATTCGATTAAACATTATTTGAATTTTTTTCTCTAACTTTTTTTTATTTCGAATAATACGTTACATTTTATAGTGGAAATATTTAGAAATATTTTTTTTAAATATTTACAAATTAAAAAAAAAAGAATTCAATTATTATTTCAGAAATCAGATTCATTCGATAAAAAATATAAAGAATTAATGGAAAGTCAATGTTTAAAACCAGCTGAAGGTTTACAAAGTGATGCAATGGTAGAACAAATGGATATGTTCGATACAATAGACAAGAAAAATGATGATAAAAATGATTATATCGAGAATTACGAAGAATTTATCTACAGTGATGATTCTGATTAAACTGCTACTACAATCAATATCAGCGTCATTAATTAATT